GTTAGCATTAGCCATTAGTAGTAAACCATTTATAGTGTACACCAACACCTCGCAGTAGTGCACTGATCGCTATGCTGTAGCGCTGGGGAGTACATATAAATCTCACAGCTGTTCAAGCACAGGGCCAGATGGTGTCTGAAGAGAGAAGATCTTTTAACGGAGAATTACAATGTCATGTCATCGCGTGAACTGCATCGTTTTCGGGAACAATAAAACGTTTCAAGATTAGAATAGTTTTTGACAGCACAGGTTGTACGAAAGTTGAGGTTCTCTGTGCTTATCTATCCTAAAGTGAGTGAGTTGGGTTTAGCGCCGCTTTCAACAGTATCTAACAAAGAAAACCGCATATTGGTGTACATACTCTAGTTCCTTTATCAAGCAATTTGTACAGATTCTGGTTCATTTATCAAGCATCTTGTACAGATTCTGGTTCATTTATCAAGCAACTTGTACATACTTTAGTTCATTTATCAAGCAACTTGTACAGACTTTAGTTCATTTATCAAGCAACTTGTACAGACTTTAGTTCCTTTATCAAGCAACTTGTACAGATTCTGGTTCATTTATCAAGCATCTTGTACAGATTCTGGTTCCTTTATCAAGCAACTTGTACAGATTCTGGTTAATTTATCAAGCATCTTGTACAGATTCTGGTTCATTTATCAAACATCTTGTACAGATTCTGGTTCCTTTATCAAGCAGCTTGTAGAGATTCTGGATCATTTATTGAGCAACTTGTACATATTCTGGTTCCTTTATAAAGCAGCTTGTGCAGATTCTGGTTCATTTATCAAGCAGCTTGTAGAGATTCTGGTTCATTTATCAAGCAACTTGTACAGACTTTAGTTCATTTATCAAGCAACTTGTACAGACTTTAGTTCATTTATTAAGCAACTTGTACAGACTTTAGTTCCTTTATCAAGCAACTTGTACAGATTCTAGTTACTTAATCAAGCATCTTGTATAGACTTAAGTTCCTTTAACAAGCACTTGTACAGATTGTAGTTCCTTTATCAAGCAACTTGTACAGACTTTAGTTCCTTTATCAAGCAACTTGTACAGACTTTAGTTCCTTTATCAAGCAACTTGTACAGACTTTAGTTCCTTTATCAAACACTTGTACAGACTTTAGTTTCTTTATCAAGCAACTTGTACAGATTCTAGTTACTTAATCAAGCATCTTGTATAGACTTAAGTTCCTTTAACAAGCACTTGTACAGATTGTAGTTCCTTTATCAAGCAACTTGTACAGACTTTAGTTCCTTTATCAAGCAACTTGTACAGACTTTAGTTCCTTTATCAAGCAACTTGTACAGACTTTAGTTCCTTTATCAAACACTTGTACAGACTTTAGTTTCTTTATCAAGCAACTTGTACAGATTCTAGTTACTTAATCAAGCATCTTGTACAGACTTTAGTTCCTTTATCAAGCAACTTGTACAGACTTTAGTTCCTTTATCAAGCAACTTGTACAGACTTTAGTTCCTTTATCAAGCAACTTGTACAGACTTTAGTTCCTTTATCAAACACTTGTACAGACTTTAGTTCCTTTATCAAGCAACTTGTACAGATTCTAGTTACTTAATCAAGCATCTTGTACAGACTTTAGTTCCTTTAACAAGCACTTGTACAGATTTTAGTTCCTTTATCAAGCAACTTGTACAGACTTTAGTTCCTTTATCAAGCAACTTGTACAGACTTTAGTTCCTTTATCAAACACTTGTACAGACTTTAGTTCCTTTATCAAGCAATTTGTACAGATTCTGGTTCATTTATCCAGCAACTTGTACGTATTCTAGTGTTTCTGTCAAACACGTTACTGATATTTAGAAGATATACAACATGAAATCCATAAATAAAGCGAAAATCAAATGTCCCTATCCAATAGAAATCCCCACATAAAACATAGTCGATTGTACAATTCCGACTATATCATGAGCATATGTTTATGAATCACTATCAAATAGTAGTGATACCAGGTGTTCGCGAAAAGGTGAACGTATCCTGTCCCAAAGGTGGCACCCGTCACAAACACATGCAAAGGCAAGTCAATTGTTCACCTAAAAAAACATTGGAATATATGGTACAAGTCAAAATAGGGAATTGCATCGGACATAACTTTTGTGACTGATGTGTCTACCATAAAACATTTTGAAAACTTTACTGAGGCCTGAATGTTGTAACCTAGATCAAACAACTTATTTTTTGCTTGATGAAAACACCTGTCTTGCTGCTTGAAGATACTGCGGGATAAGTACAATGATAAGTTTGGAATTAGACGGATATTAATACATTTGCAGCTCAAGTTGTCGCGTTACTATGACAACCAACGACAACTTCAGACGTCATACACCGGGCAAATTGTATCCTAATTTTAGTATAGTAATCATTTACTTTTTCGCAGCAATATACTGACCTGTAGGCTGACCAATAGTGGACAGTGGAAATATACACTACAGCCATCCGCGACAGGTAGCTAACACAGCAATCAATAATGGCTGATAGTCGATATCAGCACCCTCTGGAAGTTCCACTCTCACTGCCTATTGCAGAGCACTTGAGTGTTATATGAAAGTGTGAATATGTGAGGTAAGGTGAAGAGGGGTTTAACGTCGCGTTCAAGATTACTTCACTTATATAGCGACGTAATTGCACTAGTGTGTGTCTGCTTGCAGCAGTTTGTGTCTGCTTGTACTAGTCTGGACACATGTTGATTTTATAGTGCTAGTCTCCTGAGATGCCACACTCATAGATACAGACATCGTATACTGACTCCGAGCAGACCAGTCCTGTTTTATCCCTAAATGCCGAGAGCCAGGCAGGGTAACAACAAGTACCATACTTTAACGTATTTGGGTATGACGCGGTTGGGATCGAACCCCCGACTTTCCCTTCTCTGGGCATACGATCTGTCCACTACACCACGGAGGGGGTCTGAGTGAGTGAATATTGCTGAACGCCGCAGTCAGCATTATTCCAGCTTTACTTCGGCGGCCGGTAGTCATTAGACCAGGCAAACAAGTGGTCGACAATATGAACAACGATTTCTCGGGGCTCGATGAAACACGATCAACCAAGCCACTCTGGTAACTAACCGACCTCATTGGTGGGTTCTTGCGACAAGCAGTTGATGCGAGTGACCTATTATGATCCAGCATCCCGACACGCCTGTGAGCAACACCGTTACATTATTTTGCAAATTACTGTATAGTATTGTTAATGCTGGACAGTGAGACATTAATGAGACAGCGGGTGGGTCAGTAGAATTGACATTGCATTTAGCCACACTGCGGTCAATCCGTTCTGATAGGGGCAAAGACCTGGTAGGCATATTAACCAATATAGAGAGTCGAACCCAGACTCCCTGGTGACAAACTCACGCACCAACCATCCAACTAATCACTTATACCTCATGATTCATATGCCCATATATATATAATGAGCCAATGCTAACCCCAGTACCTACCCGTGAAGATCCGGGTTAGAATAGGTCTTCAGCCACCCATGCTTGCCGTGAAAGGTGACTATGCTTGTCGTTAGAGGCGACTAACGGGATCGGGTGGTCAGGCTCGCTGACTTGGTTGATGCATGTCATCGTATCCTAATTGCGTAGATCGATGCTCATGATGTCAATCACTGGATTGTCTGGTCCAGACTCGATTATTTACAGACCGCCGTCATATAGCTGGAATATTGCTGAGTGCGGCGTTAAACAAACAAACAAACAAACTATATCCTAATCACGACCACATATTACCCTTCTCGAGGTACTACCCACTGTGATAACAAAACACAGTTCTCTGGGGCAACAACCTTCTCGTCCTCGGACGCATTACTCGCAAAATTGTTAAAAATCTAATTCGATTGATTTGGTTTAAACCTTTAAACGAGTGGTCTATTTTAAGCTCTCACAATCAATTGATCTCCTCTAAATCTCAGCGCAGGTATGTTCTTGTAGAGGTTTGTGACTGGCATGCTGGAAGGTTCGTTATCGCAACAGTACGTTCGTTGTGATACGGACTTCCTTTTGTATCAAAGCGGAGTAAGCATTGCTCGGTACTCCGCTGCCACTTATGGCGTCATTTTGCACCTATGTGCATGTGTTATTGGTGAGACGTATGTTACAAACCTAAACATCGTCCACACTAAGACACACTGAAACACTGACACAGCTTTACATCCAAATCGATACTGTACACATACTTAATAATTTCAAGCTGACCTTCCCGATATATTGAGCTTCACACATTGTACTAAATGGGTCACTAGAGTCATCGACACGGCGAGAAAACCTCTAACCATGAATGTACCCATACGCAGATGGGGGGGGGGGGGCGGGTGCTGCCCCTCTCAATACCAACTCAAGGATACAGACATTGCATCCGTGCCGACCAGTACTTGTTCCAGCCCCTTAATTCCGAGGCGGGGTAACAACAAGTAACATATTCGAACCATCAGGTAGGTGAATGCTATACTATACGGGAACGTATAACAATTCAATGACTCTCCTTTGGTGATATATATGTAATGAAATTGTGTAACCATTTCTGAACGCGAAATGGCCAAATCACAAACGTTACATTTTTCGCACTTGGTAACCCTGTGGTGCCCTTCATAAGCCATGAACTTGAAAATGACATAAAATATCTGAGTATTCCTGTCGAAACTTGACTGGTTTATTAATCGACTTAGGGCAATCTCGTTACATTGCCTCGTCAATCACGTCACTATGAAGCCGCTGTTGCAGGGGCGACGGTGGAAGTGTTGCTTAACCTCAAGAATTGGGTCTACCATAGAACTTTCCCAAAATAGTTGTGAGAATGCGACCAGGTTACCAGCTGTGACGTGCATCCACGTGTGTTTTCTAACGCCCAGTACAATCCATATCTTAATGCTGTTTTAATCAATGCCATCTGTCTCAGAGCAACAGAGGTTTAATGCTTCAATCATTCTTTCTATAGATTCCTTTTAACGTAAGTCGGGATGCCGTAAAAAGTCGGTGAAATTAGAACATATTTATTGAACAATTTGAATATAATCTTGTGCGTTTCATCATAAATATATTTATTGTACATAATTCATCTTCAAACTCAACAGCATCGAGTTTCAATGAACAAAGTTCAAAGATTTATGAAGCATATTCTGTTACAATGGGAGGCGTACAAAGTACATGGTATTACGTTGATGGATTATGCTGGTAATGCTTAAAGAAGGCATTGGCTGTACTGACAGCTTAGAATGATATGGGTATCACAGTAGTCGTTTCTCACGCCACACACCTCTAGGAGGGGTCTCTCGGTGAAAGAGAGACTTCATAATCAATAGAAGACATATCTTCAAACACGCCTAGCTTAATTTAATCCATGACATTCAAAAGCATTATTTACCTCTTATTCCGGGTCATTGATTTTCGGACGTACTTGTATTGTGAAACGTTTGAATTCGGACAGAAATATATGGATAAAGCACCCGCAACTGCCTTTAAATGTTAAATCCGAACGCACAATAGAGTCAGTCTGCACACCTGCCGTGGAGAAATATTACTTAACTCTGAGTCAATGGTTAAGATCAGCATGGGGCACAAACCTCTTCTGTAGTCTGCTTTTATTGTCGTCTGCTTGAATTACTTTTCCGTTTGCAATTCAATAGAACGTTGGATTGCTGTACACACGACAATATGCTTCCACTCCTGTCAGAAACACAATAAACACATCTCCATGAAAAAAAATATTCTGCGTCATATGAAAAACGTTGAGTGTCGTCTGGCCGCAAAATGTGACAATATTTCTTGATCAGTTACAGCAGACGACACCCGTTTGGGCACCGGAGGGGTTGGGCTGGACAGTCTCCGAGATCGACCCTTCCGTCCGTCTGTGCCCAAACCTCTCCGAGTCCGCCTGGAGGGTCGGAGACCGGACTCGGCGTCTGCTGCCATTCTTATGGCCAGTTTTCTGGCTTGCCGGTCCAGGTACGAGGCATGCCAGTAGTAAGACACACAGAAAAACACCAGAATAAACACAGCCACCACCGGGCTTGCTATGACCAGGGCCAGGGGAAATTCCCGCGGGGGACGGATGTCCGTATAGGTGTTGACTCTGTCCCCTTCCTGCACGAGACTGGAAACATTGGCCGAAGGGGCGAGATCAGTGACATCGGTGTAGTTGATAGGGGGTAGTAGGAGGTCGGAGACGTTGAGCACAATATGTTGACCGGGTAGGTTGGGAGGGGAAGACATTCCCGCCTTCCTGGAGCAGACGAGATTTGGAATAGCGATCTTCTGCTCGTATCCAGACAGGTGTAACCCAGGTGAATGTGTCGTCCAAACATCCAGCTAGACCTAGCAGTAGTTTACATTTGTATTCACGCACATGTTCATAGTTCAAACACAACAGTGAGGTAAGGCACCATTCACGCCCGGTACTTCCCATGGAAGCCCCGGCCTCCATGTCCAATCAAGACCAGCATTGCTCCTATGACGAATTAAGTCCAATAACAGTGCTATAACTTTCACCTATAACTGCACGAAGCGATCAGTCAGGTACCATTTAAATATCGGCGTCTTCTTTGAGGTCCTTACTGGTACAATGACGTATTCAGCACATACAACGCCGCAACACTCCTCATGATTGTAACTACCCAAAAGAATTCCATATGAATCTAAACGACACCAATATGTCCGTAGTGGTATCCCAAATCAAAAGAACTAACCACTTGTAGAGCTTCGCTGAGCGCTCGATAACTGCGAAAGCCTTTGTAATTACAACACAACGCTACCTGCTTCCATTCACAAACTTGAAGGGGTTCAACGAATGGTAGATATGATTTGCCAATGAAATCACAGATTTGGGTTTATCATTACAAGGAGAAGCAGGACCTCCAATAAAATGCCACGGCAGTAATAAGCCGGATGGTATCACTCCATTCTGCAACCCGCGTTCGCCGGACTTCGTCTAAATCTCGACAGAAGTTCCCGTCTGCTTGTAGCGCGTGGTGAGAGCGCGAGACGCGTGCCAGCAGCAGTGGAGGGTATTCTGTAGTCAACTGGCGATCACAGCCTCCGTCGGCTGGGTTATAACGACGATAGTCAATATCCAGCAATCTGTTTCCCAGGTGCTACAGTGCGCGGACAGTGGCGAGGACACGGAGGCTGTCTTGTCACATTAATTTGCAAAAGTGGCGTCACCTGAATTCTCGCTGTTCAAAGCTGCATGATAGTTTGGAAACGCTATCACAAAGCCAGAAGCTTGCTTCTCAAGGTTTGCGATAATTTATGTGTTTTTCACAACTTCCCGCGTTCAATTCGATACATATTGCTTCTCTCCTCAGTTCGTCATCCTGCCAACGGAACATTAATCTGCACAGCTCGGGTGTGCACATCTGCAAGACGATTCAATAATTATTAGTTTAGGCGATAATTATTTGTATAAATAATAATTTCTACATTATATAAATAATAAGAACAAGTTGTCCCATCACTGCCCTGTACTGTCCGCTTATCTAGACTTGCCTATTATGATAGAATTACTACACATCCATAGATTTATCTTTCAGTACAGCCTTGAGTAAGGCAAGGGGGGCCTTTTAACCAGTACACTTTCGGTAGTGGGACCCGAATAGGTGAACATGGAAATGTACGTTGTACACATCCTGTTAAAGACATGATCTTGTGTGGAAAAATAAAATGTTTTAGTGTTGCATACTCTGCAGGGAACACGGATGGATGCAACCATTTTATTTTTCTATTTTTTTATTTAATTATTATTATTTTATTATTATTTTTTATTTATTTATTTTTATTTTTATTTTATTTTTATTTTTTTTTTGGGGGGGGGGGGTTAGGGGGTGGTCTTAACTTGTACGTACAATGTCATTTATATATCAAGTTCGTTGTAAGTACTGGTGATATATGTGTTAAGCACGTGGCTGTGAATCTGATTCCACATTAAATTTCAATATATATTCTCAATCTTAATAATATTTGACTCAATGTCAAATGATAAGTGTTGTATCTCTTATGTTTAGAATTTAGACCCTGAACATGTTTAGATAGAACACACCAATGTTTAGTCCATTTAGGACTTAGATCTAAACATGTCTTGTATCTGTTTACATTCTAAACACATTTTTACAATGCAGTTCAATTATTGATTCCAACATAGACAGGAGATCAATTATTTATTCCAAAATAGGTGCTGAATTGGGGTTAAAAATAACGAACTGCATTCTCAATACACACTGTCTGCAATTAACAAGGGACATATTATCTTTTCCTACAATGCATGGCATGAGTAAAAGTCAGTAAAACCGGGGCTTGATTATATTTTAGAACAAATCCATCCTCGCTCGCCCCCTGATAATCTAATGGTTGTTCTCAATAAGTCCTATGGCTTCCCCCTATGCATGAGGTGCGTCATCTTGAAGCCGCTCCCAGACTCTAATTGTTCTCGTCGCAAGATCGCGAATAACCACGAGGGTTACAATATGCCGACACTCCTTTGAGAGGTGTGCGCTGTTTATTTCTCTCCCCTCGGCGACAATGTTGTTTATGACATTCAAAACAAGAGATACTAATGATATTGATTCCCTTCGTAATTTATTTACGGTTCTATGAAGTAAGAAAGTTTCGAGACTTTAAAAGAAAATGTCTGGCTATATAATGTTAAGTGTCGTGTTGGGAGATGTTAAGATGTCTGATATTTGGATGTCATGATTTTTTATATATATTAAAGAAAATACATTGTTTCCGATGTGCAGTCAGTTGTCATACGGGCCCGATAAACACACATCACAACACCCATTTGCAATTTAGCAAATTAAACTTGACATAACCTCCGCAGTGAATGGCGCTTTGTCGATGAGAAAGTTGTTGTTGGCGAGCTATGTAAGTATAAGTATAGGATTGGGAAAAGTAATAATGCGAGAAGAGTCTTATACGACTTTCCTCTTTACCCGGCATGGAAGCGGAATGTACTTGCTGTGTTAACGTCAACATATGACGACTTTGAATGTATTCGACTTGACTGTTTTTAATAAGCGTAACATAAGAAACTGGTATGTGTGCGAAGAAGCAGCGGGGTCAATCAATCTGTTATCGAAATCCCTATTCAGCGCGCAGAGACTGTTCCTAATGACCAAGGATAACGTGGTCGAAGTCCTGTTTAAACTTTGCTGTCAGCCCAGGGGAAGTAACTCAGACCACATTTCACGCGCAACGAATGCTGCTGCTTTAGGGATAGTTCGTCAGCACACAGACACACACACAGACAGACAGACACACACACAGACATAGACATAGGGGTTATCACGTGAGTGTGTTTGGGGATAGTTAATATCCTGTATCAGGAATCAACATTGTATTTAGCGAGCCTTGGCTATATATTCAGATGTATTTGTCTGCTAACCTGATATTACACCGTATACGGCAACTAAAAACACCATAACGAATTTATTATGCCGAAAAGTTTACACTATTTGGTATCTTTATCGCACACGCCATGTCAAAATTAAATTTGACACTTACAACCGGTAAAAATGACAGGACCAGTACATATGTTTCTCATACAACGCATTAATGAAAACGACCCGTGAAGATCCGGGGTGGAATAGGTCTTCAACAACCCATACTGGCCGTAAAAGGCGACTGACGGGATCGGGTGGTCAGTCTCGCTGACATGGTTGATGCATGTCATCGATCCCAATTGCGTGGATCGATGCTCATGATGTCAATCACTGGATTGTCTGGTACAGACTCGATTATTTACAGAACGGCGTCATATAGCTGGAATATTGCTGAGTGCGGCGTTAAACATCAAAGAAAGAAAGAAACAAAACATTAATGTAAACACAAACGTTAACAATGGAATATGTGATGAACTAAATGCGAACGTTTAAACAAATAGCAAAGCTAAAATGAATAGAATTATCACAAATATGCCCGCATGTTATCAGAAATCTGGAGGCCACTGTAACATAATACCAGTCTATTGCTATGTGAAGTCATTGGTGTCATTCTTGTTTGTGACGTCATCCTATATTATGTTCTATGACTTTGATATTTGTAATTCTACCATGGATTTGGAAATTACTCGATTCTAATTGGTTAATCAGAGGCTATTTAATCACAATAAACCGCGCTAAATTTAACATTTGAAACCTCACGCTGCACATTCGGTTCCAAATTCAATTTACCGCGATTAAATCTACATGTAACCCAGCTCTACATTGACCTCCGTTGTGAGCTTTTTCCTTTATAGTGATACATTTTAGTACCTATAGATTGTCACATAAGTGAATCGTATAACTAGACTCGGAAAGATCTAACCAGAGAAAACATGACGTCGCCGAAATGATGTTCTTTGACCCCGCAACATTGTAGAATGTTCTTGTTTTACATACGTGGTAGATAAAACAATAAAACCCTTTCAATAATCATAAGAAATCTCTGCAAAAAGCAAAGTTTCTGTACGATTCAGACTACAGTAAACTACGTTTATAACGAACACGCTTATAACGAACTGACGGATATAACGAACTTCCTTTTTTGTCCCGCCTATTTGCTGTATATATGCTTATAAGGAACTACGGTTATAACGAACTAAAATTAGTGGTCCCGTTGAGTTCGTTATAACCGTAGTTTACTGTATATCATAAAAACCGTCAAGCAGGTGCTTTCCCATTTAAAATACTAACAACGTCATGTATAAAATTGCAAATTAAAGCATTTCACGTCGTCATGCGATGCATATAAAACAGGAACTTTAGGTTTAACATTACTCTCTGCTTCCTCCATTAATCCCGTTATGTTCCAGGTTTACCACTACGACCCTCCTAGCGTTCACCAGCATCACCCTCGGCCGCGCTGACCGGCGGCCACAGGTCGCCAATTAGTGCCAAGCAGTGCCAAGTCGGCATTGAGAAGGTGTAAAGGCAGACGACAGTCTGATAACGACCAGTCATGCTTATGATGTTGTTGGCGATCTCCCCCGATATTATGTCCAATAGAATTATGCCATGACAGAACTTCTCCAATCTTAGCCAACTGTTCGATGGCACTGGGTTTGATGTAGGAGGTAGGCTTATCGCTGACATTCAAACGTTTAACGGTAATGAAATTGCGCTTCTGTTCGGAACGCATTTTGGATTTCATTCAGAATATCCAGAGTAAAGTATACTGGTAGTTCAACGAGGGCGTTCGACTTTATCAATTATGTTTCGCTTGATAATTGAAAATAGTCTAGCTTGAAATGAGCACTTTTAATGCGTCGGTGTGTACGCGGGGCCGATAGGATAAACTGTTTATTATCGGCCTTGCACCTGGGGCTGATTGGGTGAAGTCGTTGGCGATAGAGGTGGGATGGGGATTGTGTGGGCCGGGGTTCGGGAGGGTTTTTTTTTCAATAGGAGAGGTACGTGTGTGTGTTTGTGTGCGTGTGCGTGTGCGTGTGCGTCCGTGGATGCGTGTGTCTATTTTGGCTATATTAAACATTAAGGCGGCTTGTCAGACAAACCAGTGGTGACTATCATGAGCACCAATACCCGAAGTTTGTTCACACAATAAGCCAGGTCAAACATAGTTGACCACCCGATCCCCTTAGCTAGTTTTACGGAATTAAAGGTCACGGGGGTATAATATGCGTGTAAATCTACGAGGCAAAGTAAAGAATTATAGAATATTGGTACATCGGATGCCAACCACATCCCTAACGTGTGGCGGGTCAACGAGGCAGGTACTGAGGCGGTTAGGTGTTCCGTGGATAGATTAACCGGTACTGCTAGATAGAGTCTGCCAGATAATCTATTCAGGTAACCAAAAGGAAATGAGACAGGTAATGTAGATAAGAAAGACATGCAGATATATAAATAAGTATACATTTGAACTAATAAATAGATTAGATATCTATAGGTATATGACGGGTAGTATGCCAGTTTATTAGGAGAGAAAAGGAGGAGGTGTGTGTGTGTGTGTGTGTGTGTGTGTGTGATACACTGTACTGACTTGTTCGGCAGCTTAACGTTCCACTTAATATTCCATCTATTTACCTTGCTTGGATATAATGGAACAAACTAGTGTTTGTTTGTTTGTTGTTTAACGCCTCACTTAGCAATATTCCAGCTATATGACGGCGGTCTGTAAAATAATCGAGTCTGGACCAGA